CAACACTTGACCAATAGGTGACATCTTGATAGATGGAAAAAAGATTAAAACTGTCATTGACTTCATCTTACTTAGATGCACAATAAATACACTTGGTACCAGCCATTGGGGGACTAGGAGACATGATGCACTTGGAAAGTCTCTAGTCAGATGTCTCTCCAAATTAATGAGCTATGATGTTTGAGGACTAACTTGCACCTGATTGAGACCACAGTCTTTTCAGTCATTTGCTATGCATCTGAGAGCAGTATAGTGAATAAGGATGACAGAAGGACAGTTGATGCCTTTGAGTTGTGGTGTTGGAGGAGAGAACTGAATATCCCATGGACTGCCAAAAGAAAAAACAGATATGTCTTGAGAAAAGTGCAGCCAGTGTGTTCCTTGGAGGCAAAGATGGTAAAGCTTCATCTCACATACGTTGGACATGTTGCTAGGAGAGCCTATTCTTTGGAGAGGGGCAGCATGCTTGGAAAGGTGGAAGGATAGCAAAGGAGAGGAAGACCCTCAGGTGGGTTGACAGAGTGACTGTATCAATGGGCTTGAGTGTGTCAGAGATTGTGAGGTTGGCACAGGATAGAAAAGGGTTCAGACTTATTGTTTATAGGGTTGCTATGAGTTGTACTTGACTCAATAGCACTTAATGATTTTATATATATGTACATATATATATATGCATACACATATACATACACATATATATATGTGTGTGTGTGTATATATAGTTGTTGTTAAATAACTTGGAGTTGTAGGCGACTCATAGTGACCCTGTGAACAAAAGTCCTTGACATGTGTGACTTTCATCCTTTCTCCAAGTTCATAGGGTTTCTGGAGGCAAGCGGTTTACGGGAGTGGATGCCACTCCTGCTTCCAAGCTTGTTTTAATCAGGGAGCTCCACCAAACACTGTCCACCATGGGTAACATTTGACACATCAGTGTCACAGTGTTCAACTTCACTGCAACCACAAGTTACCTCTGTATGGCAAGTGAACACACCAGGGCTATACGACCTAGAAGAATGTTTGACCAAAACCAATTAAAAACAGGCCTGAGGGCCACGGATTAGAGTGATCCACCTTTGGCTTGGTAGCATCACTTTCTGTCCACTAGGTCGTATGGACCCCCGGTGGCCTAGTGCTGAGAAGCTGCTCAGCAATTCCAAAGTCGTGCTGTTTGATTCTACCAGGTGCTCTGTGGGAAAAGGATGGGCATTTTCCTCCCATGTGGTTAACTGCCTCTGAAAACAGCTGGAAAGTCAGCTATGGGTCTGTTCCAGCTTGATGATATGCAATAGCAACATATATATGAATTGCTGCTTCTGCTGTTATGCGCTTTGAGTCAGAGTTGACTCATTGCCAGCCCTCTAGTAAGTTACCAAATGATGTAAATTGCATGGGAAGATGATTGTCTAACTTTTCCCTGTGGAGCAGCTGATGGATTTGAACCCCCTGCCTTTGGGTTGGCAGCACAATTCCTTACCCATAGGCCACCAGACATTCCTAGAAGAAAAAAAAAATAGAAAATTATGTATAAAAAATGTGTATGTATTTATTCTTGTAACAGACCATTGTCAGATAGGATATTTAACATGAAATAAGTAGAAGGCAGAATATTTGATATACAGTTAGACTTAGTGGTTAGATAGGTCCATGTTCAAACCCTGGAGTGACTACTAACTAGTAAAATGACAAGTTTTTTAACTGTTCCGCCTCAACTTCCTCTTCAGTAAAATGGAAATATAATACCTATTTCATCAGACTGACTAGATTAAAAGAGATACTTGGAAGCTGCTATTTTCATCAAAAGGACCCAGTGACAAACATCAAGTTAGTTCCAACTCTAGAGCACATCCATTGGGTATCAAAGGTTCTACAGCTTAAACAGAGGAGACTACCTGTCATTTTCCTGCAGAGACCGATGGATTTGAACTGGCATTCCTTAGTATATGTTAGCTGTACAACAGGCTATTCATCATACGTCCAGAACTCCTTAAAACTGGAGAACAACACACAGAAACAATTTGTTAACATAGTAAACAAATTTTTTGAATGTTTTAAAAATAATTTTGAAGAACTTCATCAATATGTTTATAGTAAAAATGTAAATAGCTGACTAAAGGTATAGGGTTAAAAAATGAAACCATAAAAGAATCATAAATAAATTTACTAAGCCATAAATAAATAATAGTATTTATATAATCTTGCAAAGGAATGATGTAATGCACTGCCAAAGTCTGCAGTTAGGGACCTCTCCTAATTATTGAGGAGTAATGATGTCAGTTTAGGTATGTCTAATTCAGGCCATGGGCTTTCTGATTACTTGCTATGTATCTGAGAGCTGAACAATGAGTAAGGATGACAGAAGAAGAATTGGTGCCTTTGAGCTGTGGTGTTGGAGAAGATGCTAAACATCCCATGGACTGCCAAAAGAACAAACAAGTATGTCTTGGAGAGGGTGCAGCCAGAGTGCTCTTTGGAGGCAAGAATGATGAGGCTTCACCTTACTACAATGGGCATGTTGCTGGAGGGGCTATTCCTTGTAGAGGGACATGATGTTCAGAAAGGTAGAGGGTTGGCGAAAGAGAGGAAGACCCTTATCCAGGTGGGTTGACATGGTGACTGCTGCAGTGTTCTCTAGTGTGTAAGGAAGTGTGAAGATGGCACAGGATAGGGACAGAGTTCAGGTCTGTTGTTCATAGGGTCGCTATGGGTTGTACTCAACTCAAAGACACCTAACAAAAACAACAACAAAAAAGGACTATTTATAATATCAAAGGTTGAAAAAGATAGCATAACTAGTTTTTAAATGTGTAGACAGTAAAAATGTCTGCATGTTAAAAATGAGAAGATACAAAGTAACAAAATAAATGTTGGAAAATAACTGCAACACACTTGCAGTCTTCAGGTTACAAACCTCTGATTTCTAATAACTGTGTGTGGTTATTAACCAGTCCCATTACATTAAACATTCAAGGTCCATACAATGTTTCATAATAGCAAATAGGCTCTATGTTTAAAAACATTGTTATTGTTTATTATGTTAAATAGGTTTTAGTGTATCTGGGAATATTTCCTCAATGTTTTTATGCATAGATAGGTATTTTAAGTACTTACCAAACATATGAGTATTTATATACTAAAGCAAAGATATAAATAATTGGTATTAGAGACAAATCATATCTAACTGTTTCAGTTTGCATGCAAATTAGATTTAAAATGTTTAGGAAGTAACTATAACCCGGAGACTGTCTGAACATAAAAGGTATAGCTCTGATGACCTTAATAAATGAAGAATTTTTTTTAAAGTTATCAGAATGGAGGAATGTTGTTGTTGTTGTTGTTGTTGTTAAGTGCTGGCGAGTCACAGATGACTCATAGCAACCTTATGAAGGAGAGTCCTCAATGCTTTTCATCCTCTCTCCAGGTTCATAGGGTTTCCGGAGGCAAGCTATTCTGGAAGTGGATGCCACTCCTGAATGGAGAAATAGATTTAAAAAAAAAACACCCCAAAAACCAACCCATGCCACATACACACAATGGAGTACTATGCAACACTGAAAAACCATAAAAATTGTTTTTAAATGCCATATAACCTAGATACATATAGAGAATATTATACTAAGTCATCTAAGTGAGTCAGAAAGGACAGTTTTTGTCTTTTTGTCCATTACCAAAAGTTAAAGAGTTATACACGGGAAGAATCATTGTTGGATGGTTATCAGAGTTGGAGAGGAAGGACAAAACCAGTAAAAATTGGTAAATAAATAATAGATACCTATTAAGACAAGTGTGGGGAAAGGCACTGCATAATACAGGGATGATCAATACAGTCCTAACTAAAGAAAGGAGAGACATAGGGGAGTATAGAAGGAATAATGGAAATCAGAATTACAGGGAGGAAAGGGGCAATTAAACTATGGATATTGAAATTAATGGTACAGAACAAAATGTGTATAAATGTAAAATGTGTAAAAATTCAGTTGCTTCGTAAATATTCATTCAAACCACAATAAAAATGCTTTAAAAACAAAACTACAAAAAAAGCAAATATAATCTTAAGAAAAAACTGTTTCTGTCTTAGGTATTTAGTGTTGCTAGAACTGAAATACCACAAATGAGTGGCTTTAACAGGAATTGCTGCTTTCATAATTTGACTCCCTAACTCGCTCACTGCCACTGAGTTGGAACTGTAGCTGGTCCTCCAGTGGGTTTTCAGAGGCTCTAAATCACAGAGGAGGAGACTGCACATCTTTCTCCCATGAAGCATCTGATGGATTTGAACTACCAGAAAGACATGAGGCACCTTTTGTTAGCACTGCAACTCCATACTGACAACCCCACCAGAGCTCCCTGCAGTTTAAGAAGGTAGAAACCCGAGTTCAGGGTGCCAGCTCTCTAGGCAGGCTTTGTCAATGTTGTATCTGGAGAAAAGTCCTTGTCTCGTCTTCAGAGGGAGCTCTGGTGGCCTAGTTGGTAAAGAGCTGTACTACCAATCTAAAGGGAGACTGTTTGAATCCATCCACTGTTCTGAAGGAGAAAGATAGTCTACCTACCTACCTTCCATGTGATTTATGGCCTCTGAAAACCTGCTGGAGGGTCAGCTGTGAGTAGGTTCGGATTTGATAGCAATTTAAGAAAAAAAAAACACAAAACAACAACACAAAACACCCCAAAACTAAACAAAAGTATATTTGAAGAAAGACAAGCTCAAGTGTTTACACATTTATATTTTATTCATAAGCAGCTCTGGTTGCATTGTGTATTATGTGTTGCACTATTGACTGAAAGATCAGCAGTTCAAAGCCACCAACTGCTCCATGAGAGGAAGATGGAGAAGGTCTGTCAGTAATGATTTACAGCCTTGGAAGCCTAACAGAGGGTTGTTTTGATTTGGAATCACTTTGCCGATGGCAGGGGGTCCTTTTCATGGTGAATTTATTTCTTAACTATCATCTTCTCAAGTACTGAGCATTGTATCTTAGAATTTCCCCTTTGTCTTTCAGGCCAAAGATGCCCTAGAAAATCTTGAAGTTCCTGTTGGCTGCCTCATGGTCTACAACAACGAAATTGTGGGGAAGGGGAGAAATGAAGTCAACCAAACAAAAAATGTATGTTAATTGGATAGTGTAATTAATAGAATACAGCAGCCATGAGACAAGTGGTTTGGACAGGTCCCAGGGGGTGAGAGGATGGGACTGCCTAGTTCAGTAGGTATTCAGTGGTATGGCAGGGGTTTTTAACCTTCTATTTTTTTATTTCTAAATTGTATTTTTTTAAATTTGAAATATTGTTAAGAATGTAATGAAAACATTGTGTTAGAGATAATGTCCCATTTCATAGTGCTTGCTTGAGTGAACCGTAAAAGCATCTTTTGAATTTTTTTAACTCCCATGGGTTTTTTTCCAATTTAACTCACGGCTGTCGAGTCAGAACCGGCTGAGAGCTGACCATCTGGCAGGTGTTTGGAGGCTGTAAATTACAGCGGAGGAGATACAGGCTCATCCCTCTTCTGAGGAGCAGCCAGTGAAACCGCCAGCGTGACGCCTCCGTTGCTTAAAGGGCAGATCCCTCCCCACTACACCACTCAGGTTCCCCTTGGACTTTTAAAAAATTTTATTGTGTCTTGTGTGTGTACCATCAACTCCGATCTGACTGGTACAGGAGGAGATTGCCCCTCCTCCAGCAGAGCATCTGGTGGATCTGAACTGTGTACCTCTGGGATTGCAGTCCCCTTGGATTTTTTATTAGGGGAGTTATTAGAGGGTCAGTATAGAAGAAACAGATCTGTTTCCACTTTAAGGAACTCTAATGTAGAAAAACTTTATAAAACACATCAATTTAATTTGTGATACTTTCTATTTCTTGTTGTTGTTTGCCACTGAGTTGGAACCAAGCCATCGCTGACCTTGTAGTGGATTTACAGAGGCAGTAAATTGCATGGGAGGTGAAATCCCATCCTTCTCCCGTGGATTCGAGCTGCGTGCCTTTGAGATTGCGGCGCAGTTTCTTACCAACTTTGCAATACTTTCTACAGTCCCTTTAAGTACTGTCATCTGCCTAGTAAATACAAAGATGATCTTGTATAACTTTAGAAGGATAAAAGGATTGCAATAAAGAAGCTACTTCTTTATTGGGTAACTCAGCTGAATGAAGCCACATTACCTGGTGTCTCTCTACCTGTGGTGTGGATGCTTTATAAGGCATGCACCTTTTCAGTCACTGTTACCAGCTCGAGGGGTTTAAAGTTTAAGACACTGCTTTCCCTGCCGGTATCACAGCAGTCATAGTGCCACCATCTTTAGTAGTTATGAGAACTGTGAAGTATTCAAGTTTATGATTTTAAAAAGACACTAGATGGATAGTTTATAGCCCTATTGTCACTTACATGGACTTAGATCCTATTGTAGGATCTTGAGTTGTTGGTATTGACCCATTGGGAACTTTTAAATTCAAAATGATGTGTAAAGTAGAAACCCAGATTAACTGAAGTAAATAGTAAACATATTACAACACTTAGTGAGTATGCAAACACTTATTTGGGAATGGAACTCTGGAAGGGTTAGGCAATTTTGTCTTTTAAAATAAATATCGTATTTTCTTGTTAGTATTCTTCTGGATAGGTATGAGATCTTCTCCATGAGAACATTTCATGCCCTGTCAATACCTACCTTAGCCCTTCCATGACTTTAAATTCTTCTATCCCTTTTATTTAACTCAGATTTATTTCAGAGGAAGTTTACCTTGTAAACTGAGGGAAGGACTCTCATCAAGCCTCTTTCAGCTGTCTGCCTTTAACCCATTCCAGCCCAGCCTAAAGGGAGTTCTGATGGCATAACTGCCAGGGGCCTGCGCTGCTGACCCAAAGGCCACACCTTTCTGCTGGCTCAAACACATCAATGGCTCTGTGGGAGACAGGTGGGCATTTACAGCCTTGGAAAACCCGCTAGTGGGTTGTCAGTAAGCTTATTCTGACTCAGTAGCGATGAATTGCTAACCAAGCCTGGATTTTGTGTTTGCAGCTCCCAAGATTCCGAAGTAGGCTCCCAGTCCACGTGAATGGCATTAGGGTTCTAAACTATCCTAGAGTCCAGCTTGTACCTTTAAAAATCACAAAATTGAATACTTCCTTATAGTTCTTATGGCATGCTATCATGGTGATACTCTGATTGTTACGATACTAGGTTTAAGATAATTCAGGTGAGTGGTTCCTGAAAAGTATGAGGCAATTGATTTAGAAATCCTGGATCTGGTTGTCTAAAGCTTCCATATCAGGAACTAGTTTTTGTTTCAAGGTCCCCAATTGGTTCTGGTATGTGGTCAAGTTCAGGATCCTTTTCAGAAGCACCTCTTAGCTCCAAGTCTGTAATTCCATGATGTGCCTGTGAGACCCTTTGCCAGCATCGTGCCCATCTGCCTCTGGCTTCATGGCAGCTGGGGCCTCCTTGGCAGCGTGTCCACGCTTTGCCCCGTGCCACGGGCACCTTACTGTTTGCCCCCCACATTATGTTGTTGAGGATGGAGCCTTTTCATCCCACACAGTGCCTTCCGCATAGCTAGCACCCCCTGTAAGCGTGCTCGCAGATGCTGTTGCCTGCGGTGTAATTATTGCAGTGATATCTGTGACCTGCACTGTTGTTTCAATTAGGGGAAACAAGGTGGAGAAGAGAGCTCAGAGAGGGCACACTGTAGCATTATGCAGCCCTGTGCCTCGTTCTATGCCCATTACCTTATCCAAGGTGTACTATTGCCATTGATGCTGACCCTAGTGATCACATAGGACAGAGGCGAATGGCCGTAGAGTGTTTCCAAGGCTGTGAATTCTCATGGATACAGACTATGGAAGTGAGTATATATTTGTATACACTATTTGATACATGGGGAAACCAAGAGGTTATGTAACCTCCTCAAAGCCACATAATTAGTAATTTCATGGTTGGGATTCAATGTTTGTGTGGTAGATTCCAAGTGCTGTGTGATGTCTCCTGTACATTTTTTTGCCTCTAGTAAAGTACTTGAGTCCAGTACTTCATCTTCTGTCTACAGTTGACCTTTATATAAAGCTCATCCCAAAGAAAATATAAGTGATGACATGCCAGTAAATGAAATAAAGATTTGCTTAGTGCTGGTCAGTGAGAGCCTTGAAAACACATTGGAAACAGGCATACTCTTGAGAAAATGTCAAATTTCCCTTACAGCATTTAGAAACCATAGATCTGTTCCTTTGAGATGCCTTTTCTCTATGACATTTTAATCGGAGGTGCTACTCCTCAGATACTTAAAAAGTCGAGCTTGATGCAGAAGGCATCTCAGATTAGGTGTCCTTTGTTGGTGAGGTTTCAGAACTCAAATGGAGGAATGCATCGCCAGCTGCTAAGAGTGTCCTGAAGACCTCATTTATTCAAGTGCTGGCAAAAATGACGGACACACAAGGTTATGTCCTGGTTGAACTCACTTGTGAACTAGGAGCTAGGAGTCGGAAGAGTATCACAGGGAGCACCTCTCTCTTTGCAGGCTACACGGCACGCGGAGATGGTGGCCATCGATCAGGTCCTCGACTGGTGTCATCGCAGCGGCAGGAGCCCCTCGGAGGTGTTCGGGAACACGGTGCTCTACGTCACGGTGGAACCCTGCATCATGTGTGCGGCCGCCCTGCGTCTCCTCAGTATCCTTAGCTTTCCTGGGCTGATGCCTTGTCCCTTTCCTGCAGACACGGAAGTGGTCGCACCCAACATTTATGAAGCAGTTGTAGAAGCTGTTACTGCCACCAAGTCACTTCTGACTCTTAGCAGCCCGCCTCTGGGTTCCCAAAGCTGTAAATCCGAATGGGGGAGATCGCCTCGTCTTTCTCCTGCAGCATGGCTGTTAGAGTTGAACAGCTTGCCTGTTCAATAAGCCGTCAGATACTTAACCCGTTACACTACCAGGAAGCTTTTAAATTGTAAAACAGCCTCTTTGCTTTTACATCAATCAACAATGTACCTGTTATGTAAGTTAGGGAGTATGGTGGCTTTAGAGTTAAGGAATGGCACTGCCAGTTCAAAGGTTGTTGTTGAGTACAACTCATAGCGGTCCTGTGAACAAAGATGTGAACCCTGTTCTATCCTTTACCATCCTCACACTCCTGACACACAAGAGCCCACTGCAGCAGTCACTGTGTCAGTCCACCTAGCTGAGGGTCTCCCTCTTCTTAGCCAACCCTCCACCCTTCCCAACATCATGTCCTTCCAAGGAATAGCCCCTCCCCGCAATATGCCCAAGACTATGTGAGGTGAAACCTCTTTATTCTTGTCTCCAAAGAGCACTCCGACTGCACCTTCTCCAAAACATATCTGTTGTTCTCATTGCCATTCATGGGATGTTCAGTGCTCTTCTCCAACACCACAGCTCAAAAGTGTTAATTCTTTTTCTGCTATCCTTATTCACTGTTTTCAAAGGTATGATGTTCAAATCCACCAGCTGTCCTGTGGGAGAAAGAGTCTCCTCCCATGTAATTTCCTCCCTCTGAAAACCTCCTGGCGGGTCAACAATGAGTTGGTTCTGACTCGATGGTATCTAACAACAACATCATGTAAGTAGTTGGAGAAAGAAAAGCTTAGCGTTAAACTTAAACTTCTGTGTAAAGAAAAAGAATCCATTAACTTTAAAATGGGCACAGTTCGCAGAAAAGAGCTAAAGAATGTACACTTAAGTTTTGCCTTTGGAAAGCAAAGTGTAGGTAATTTCCAGTTTTTCTCCAATTTTGTTTGAAAAGGAAGTGAAAAGCAAACTTAAATAATTTATGATAAAACGTCAAGCAATTGGAAAATGGATAAAATGGAAGTTCTTTGGCGGCATATCGCGTAGTTATTGTTGTTGTTGTGTGCTGTCGAGTTGGAAGCAACTCAGCTGATCCTGCAGTGGGTTTTTAGAGGCAGTTAATCACATGGGAGGAAACTGCCTATCTTTCTCCTGTGGAGCAGCTGGTGGACTCGAACTGTGTGCCCTTGGGATCACAGCGCAGTTTCTTAACCACTATAGAATGGAACAGGTTAGTCTCTAAAGATCCTTTTTAAAATTTTATTTGAAAATTCAGAAACTCTAAATTTCATACTTGCCCATTTTTCTAAGTACTCATTTTGCTAAATGGGCATGAATAATTTGAACTATAAAAATATTAGAGCGTTTTCAGTATGACAACGTATACAGTCTATATATAAGGGGATGTTTTGAATCCACCAGATGCTCAGCTGGAGAAGGAGGGGCAAACTCCTCCTGTGCCAGATGAACCCAATTTGACGGTACACCAAATTTAAAAAAAAAAGGTAACTAGAATCCTAAATTCATGTACTTTAAATGGTTTGAATTCTACACAGTGGCCAGACTTCTGTTTACAAAACAGCAGTCTGGAAATACTCAATGCCCAGCAGCTCAGAACCAGATTTCCTTGCTCTGGACTTGATTATATACCAGTTGGAGCAGAGTGCCTGCGTGCTGCACGGATGGGTAACCTCTTGCTGCACATTGTCCTGGTCGTAAACGTGACCCATGAACTTGGGAGTTGAACTCCCATTCGTTAACCAGATAGTTCTACACCTGATATCAGCCCATTCTCATCTTCCCTGCTAGGTTGTGGCTTTTATGAGCTAGAGGATGAGATTATAAAATGTCTCATGTTTTTCAAACCCCAACGAGGTTTATGCAGTTAAGAATTATTTAGGAGTTTATCAGTGCTGTTAAATATTTTTTTAAAGCCAAAATTTGCTGAAATTATGCTTTATGCTTGTAAATATTTTGAGCACTTTCATGTCTTAACTCATTGTATGTCCCTGTTATCCTGTGGACTAGATACTCTGTTATTGTGCCCAACTTATAGACGAGGAAATGGACATGTAAGTAAATGGAGAAGCCTTGAGGGTTGATGTTGAAGTCTTCCTACTTTTCCCTGTTCTGTCTCACAGACTGGCTCAGTTTTACTTTTTTTTTTTTTTTAAAAATGGAGGTGAGAACACAGATATGTTCTTTTAGGGGGAAAACCCCAGATATACAACTATTTTTAAAAAGTAAAAATCTTTGGGTTAAATTTTTGCCTCCATTCTGGTTCTAATCATTTGATGATGAAAATTCTAGAAAAAATTATTCGAGAGACTAAATCAGAGCACTAACCTATGAGCATTTCATATCTACATACTCACTTTTCATTCCATTCACACCTGCTGGATGTTAATAACTAAGCATTTACATCTTTTTCTTTTGTGTAATTAGATTTTATCATTTTTAAGAGTAAGACACAACTTTTCTTGTTTTTCACAGTAGGTATGAGCTTTCATTTTCAGGATAGCTGGTGGAAACATTCTGTTTTCTTTTTTTTTTTCCTCTCTTCAAATTCTCTTTACTGAAAACAAGACTATTGCTATTACACACAGTTCTTTATTACTTTTTAAAAAATTTTCACTAATTTACAAAATTCTAATACAAATTGGAACAAATTCTTTCAATTTTCCCCAACCCCGCCTCCATCAAATTGTACAACCCAAAGATTAATCCCCTCTTCCCCCTGTACATCCACATCCCTCTGCTTCCAGCTTCTCCCACCCCTTCTGGACTCTTACTCTACAATAATGGTCTTACACAATATTTTTTGTCACAGTACCTAACTGAACTGCACAGGTCCTTAATTTTTTCTTAGACATTCCTCTGGTTGTATATGGCTGTCAGAATGAACGATTTGGTGGCTGTGGCTCTGTTCTAAATATTGCCTCTGCCAACCTGCCAAATACGGGAAACCCATTTCAGGTAAAGTGGACTACTTATGCTTTTTCTTTATCTTTTCATGGGTTTATAAATAGGGTGTGGTCAGTAGGTACCAAGTGACCATTACAGGATGAGACAGGCCCTTGGGACCTCTGGACAAGTTCGTTCATACCTCAGTGTAAAGGTACAAATGATAACTGCAGTGTATTTGGATAAAAAAAAAAAAAAATCTATAGAAGAATCCCAAGCAAAAGGGGGAACAATGTGGAAAAATTCAAATTCTCATAAAATCCTGAATTTGTAGAGGCACTGTGGCTTGACGAATCCCTGAAACTGTTGCCTTGAGGTAATCTTTAAATCTTTGACAAGAAATATTCACTGAAGTCTTCTTTAGACTACTCAACAATTTAGGTTAATTAGTAAAGAGGAGTGCGCTCTTTTAAATAACTATTTTTTGGGATGGAATTATAACAGCAGCTTGAAGCTTAGAGGTCATTGAGTTTATCTAAGTCGGTGATGAACCATGTGGGAAAAGGAGAGTGAGAATGGTAGTACGAGTTGGAGAATAAAATTAAGGCCAATGAATCACACATTCAGGTACTGGGGTATGGGTGTATATTTTAAATAATAATAATAAAGCAAAACAACAACAGCGCCCTACAAATCAGTTTCCAGATGAGTGTCTAACTCTCTTAATTAACAGAAGCTTTCCTGAAGGAGAACCCTGCTTTCCCAGGGTCCTGAAAATTAGCACCAACATCTTCATGCTTGTTGAAGAAGCAGATGAAGTTCTACTTGTATTGATGGTTTTACTCTATGAGGTAGCATCTTCACACTGACTTGGTTTCATGGGAAGCCTGAGCTCAGTGAGAGTAGCTACTCTTTATAGCAAGCAAACTACTTTTTGCATCAACTAAAGCATTTTGCTTGATTGCCACACAATATTTTTGGTGTCTTGCAATCAATTAGAAGTCCCTAAGTGATGAAAATGGTTAACGTGCCTGGCTGCTAACTGAATGGTGGGAGGTTCAGCTCAGCTCAGAGGCGCCTGGGGAAAGTCCTTGTGATCTAGTCTGAATAATAATCCCCTGAAGACCCCACAGAGCACAGTTGTATGCTGACGTATGTGGGGTGATCTGGAGTTGAATTAATGGCAAATAATTTACTAAACTAGCCTCAGTCAGTTTATTTTTCACTGTTTCTTTGCCCCTAGACTTTTAAATATTGACATCTTCTGCAGATCCAAGAATTCACATTTCCTTAATCTTCTCTCAGAAATTCTACTTCCTTTTTAATCTTGCCACATGGTTTCTATGGTTTATGCTATGAGAATTAGAACTTTCAGTTTCTTATTTGTCGGGCTGAATTTCCTTCAGAAGCTGGCCTTTTTGCAAGCTGGTTAATCCCAAAGCATTATGTTTTTTAAAGAGAAAATTCAAGTCATTCTGTCAAATCAGATCCAACTCATCGTTGACCCTCCAGAGAGTTTTCACGGGGGGGGGGGGGAGACTGTGTATCTTTCTTCCTCAGAGTAGCTGGTCGAGTCAGACCGCCAACCTCTGGGCCCCTGGGCCACCAGAGCTCCCTGGGCCTGGGTAAGAGGGATTGAAAACACAAGAAAGCCGCGTCTGGAGTGGGGCTCCAGTACCCTGTGCTGTGCTCCCAGCTTCATTCTAGTTACCATGGCTTTCCTGACCTGCCTCCTTGAATCTCCATGTGCCATGTCACCCTGCTTACCTCAGCAGGAGTCCACACATCAAGTCCAAGCTTACCTTTAAGGCTGCTTGTATTTTTTTTTTAAAGTTTTCTTTTATTTCATTATTTTGTGTGTGTGTACCAGCAAATCAGATCTGACTGGTACAGGAGGAGATTGCCCCTCCTTCTCCAGCAGAGCATCTGGTAGATTCGAACTGTGTACCTCCGGGATTGCAGTGCAGCTTCTTGCCACTAGACCACCAGAGCTCCCTTGGCTTCTTGTATTTTTACCTCATTTTATCCCTTAATTTCTTTAAACTCCCTAAATAATCCTCCTCCCCTTAGTCAGTGGTTCTCTCATATGAACCCCCACACTTTCTCCCTTTTGCCTGAGATGCTCTCATCAGTCTCTATAATATTTTGTCTATGTTGCACTGGGCTCTAGTGTTTCAGAGATTGTGAGGATGGCACAAGATAGGACAGGTCTCAGATCTGTGGTTCATAAAGTCACTATGAGTTGTACTTGACTTGATGGTACCTAACAACAACAATGGTGAGTGAGAGCGCGCTGGTGGCCTGTCTGATAATTATCTCTGAATTATACACAGGAGGAAACTGAGGCACAGAGTTTAAGCATCTTACTCAAGTCTGCACAGCTAGTGCCTTTATTATTGTTAGGTACTTTCAAGTCAGAATCGACTCATAGCTGATCTTCCAATGGGTTTTCAGAAGCATTAAATCGGGAGGGAGGAGATTGTCCATCCTTCTCCTAGGAACAACATATGGATTAACATTGTATTCTTTTGCCATTAACAACTTGCAATTCCTTACCACAAAGCTACCAGTGGTAGTATAAACGAAAAAAGTCATTGCCATGGAGTTGTAACCAACTCTTAGCTTGACTGCCCACCTCCAAGCCCGTTTTGAGAGGCTGTACATTGAGCAGGAAGAGACTGCTCGTCTTTCTCCCTCAGAGCAGCTGGTAGATTTGAACTGCCTGCTTTTGGGTTGGCAATATCACACCTTTCACATGGAGCCATCAGAGCTCCCACTTAGTGGTATCAGATTGATTAGTTGATTTAAAGTGATGTTTAATGGAGTCTGTATACCTATTATTTTTTTTTAAATTCACTTCCTTACCCATGTTATTAGTATCTGTTATCTGAAACCTGTTTTTGTAATTCTTGGGTCTACATTTGCTGGTTTTGTGGGATCTGTCACACATTTTCATGGACCTATCTTCTCACCTTTTCCATCCCATTAGTGTGTCCCTGGGTATCGGGCAGAGGAAGCAGTGGAAATGTTAAAGGCCTTCTACAAGCAGGAAAACCCAAATGGTGAGTATATTCTGTTACATATTGTGTGAGCCTCTTCAAACAACCCCAGCAAAACAGCCTGACATCAGCTGACTTCTTCATGTTCTCCTTCTCCCCCACCCCCGCTCCCTCCCCCAATTCTTTCACAGCTCCAAAATCAAAAGTTCGGAAAAAGGAGGTGCAGAAGTCTTGAGCTTCCCTGGTGAACACTGGCTGTCCCAGCGCTTGCGTGGGGAAGGTCTTGGACTGAAAGCTGCCGCCGTCCATGAATCACATGTTTATAGACTGTCGTTAATCAGTGGGAAAATGGTCTCTCATCATTTGCTCTGTTGAGGGAACAAATTAGCACTTTTTAAAAGTCTGACAATTGTAAACTACCATTAGCTCTTCCACAAGCTGAAAGAGCATTTTAAGTTGGGGAGTAGGGGTTGGGAAATGAGGGTTTGAGGTTTTAGGGATTAGCAAATCCTGCATACTCTTCCCGCCCAGACAGGATTGTGCCCAGTGCAGGGCCTGTGTGGACTCTGGGACATGGAGACCTGGGGTGTGACTGGCTGGAGGAACGTGGCACACTGTAGACTATGCCTGGGCAGAAGCAGACTCATTCTGTAACGTCCGGTTCTCCTGGGGCGTAGAGGGCCCATGACTTTGTTTTAAATCATATATCAGTTGCAGCTACACATACTGTGATTATGGATTCCTTAGAAGAGACTTGCTTTCATAAAGCATTTTGAAGAAAATGTTATCTTTTTATACCAATTTTTAATGACAAAATTTATAGCATATTGCTGTAATAAGACCTCTCATCTCTTTTAAAATACAAATGAAATTAATGATAAAATAATAAAATACAAAAAGGAAAAGTCATCAGAGGGATGAGTCATCATCTTTTTTGGTCACACTTCTGCCCCAGCTTTTTTCACCATCAGTAGCCCCCTTTGGGGTTTATGTTTTCACGGGGTCGGGAAGGACAGAGAATGCACATCACAAGTTGTACAGTGTGTCGAGGGTGCTGAGAATGGATGTGAAAGAGAAAGGATTAGCAAGGTAAGGAGTGCGGGGCCAAGGACTCAGCAGCAGCCTGCGTTACGCAGATGAAAGAACCTTGCTCGGAAACTGAGGACCTGAAGCGCTTGCTGCAGAAGGTCAAGGACTATAGTCTTCAATATGGATTGAAGCGAAACATTCATAAGGCAAAGATTCTCACACGTCGGCCAATTGGCAGCTTCATGATGGATGGAGAAGAGCTTGAGATTGTTAACAATTTCAGATTGGATGGTTCCACAGTTAACACCCTTGGCACCAACAGTCAAGAAATCAAAAGACAAATTTCCCTGGGAAAATCTGCTGTCAGAGACCTCTTCAGAGTACTGAAGAGCAACGATGTCAGTCAAGAGACTAATATGCTCCTGATCCAGACCATGCTCTTCTCGCTTACTTGCTATGTCCCAGAGAGCTGGGCAATGAATAAGGATGACAGAAGAAGAATCAATGCCTTTGAATTGTGGTGCTGGAGAAGAATATTGAATATACCATGGACTGCCAAGAGAACAAATAGGTTGGTATTGAAGAGGGAGAAACCAAGCTGCTCGTTGGAGACAAGGATTTTGAAACTCCATCTCATATACTTTGGGTATGTGGCCAGGAAGGACCAGTTCTTAGAGAAGGATATCATGCTCAGAGAGTGGAGGGACAGTGCAGGAGAGGAAGACCCTGGATGAGATGGATTGCCACAGTAATTGGGCTAATGGGGGTGTGTCGGAGGCAGGGAGACTGGCTCAGGATCAGGCAGGTTCAGGGTCACTGAGTCACAGGGGACTTGATGACACATAACAACAATGGTGGTTCTCAGAATTGTTAAACTGAAGTCAATTTAATCTAAAATCACACTCTCATGTATTTTTTTAAAACCATCCTGAGGATTAAAAAATTTAAAAAGATCAAAGAATAGTCTGCTCAGAGGGAAAACTAATGTGATCGTCACACCGGACTGGACTTCCGCCGCAGGGAAGTCTCAGCATTCCTGCTCTGGGACTGCAGTAAGGCTTGATGCCCAGGAAAAAACCTGCATGCCTCTCTGCAGACAGATGCAGGGGCACGGGCACGTCCCTGCCCAGCAGAGGGCGGCGCTGCTCCACAGAAGCCCCGTTCAGGCCCCGACTGGCAGCTCGCTCCCTCACTTGTCCTGCTTCAGTGGATTCATTTCCTTGATGCAAAGCATCTGTATTTGTTGATTCTGCCATTTGAGCGATGTCTCTTACTTGTTTGTTTTGAATTACATTACAGTCTGAAATGTAATTGTGGTGAAAGTATTTTTATATTGCTGAGAGTAGCAGCTAATCACAGTTACATGCTTCAGAAGACTTATAATTGCTTGGGTTTTGTGCCTGTGTGTTTTTAATTGCTTCTAAGTAGTTTTATGGAGAAGAATATGCATGATTTGAAATTACAATAATGTTACATGCACCTTATTTTCCATTTTCCCACCTTTAAAAATTATCTCATTATATTTTAGTGCTTTGACTAGTTTATTCCTGTTTGTCGTTGATCATAATTCATTTCTGACTCATTATGCTTCTGCCAGTGGAACTCGTTGCCTTCATTATCTTCATGGAGTTTTCTTGGGGATTGCTTGTAGGACAAACAATCTGGAATTTTCCCTCCATTGAGTTGTTACCTGTATCTCTACTGTTGTTGTTATGTACCATTGAGTCACAGTGACTCATAGTTGACCCTTCAATGGGTTTTCAGAGGCAGTAAATCATGAGGGTGGACACTATCCATCTTTCTACCTCAATTGTTGTTGATTGCCTTCAAGTCAAGCATGACTCATAGCGACCGTATGAACAAAAGGCTTGAAGCCCCTCTATAAGTATTGACATTTATCAAAGTTCATAGAGTTTCCCAAGGCATGTTATTTAGGAAGGCGGTGAGCAGCTATTAAATTCAAAACATGTGCCTTTGAGTTGGCAGTGTGGCATGCAAACTCCTTTACACCAAGCCACCAGAACTCCTTATCTATCTAGAAAATGAGTTATCAAAGAATATAAAGAATAATTTTTTTTAGAAATCCAAAATAGAGTATCTGTATTTTCAGGTCAGAGACAGTTACTGCTGAAAGAATCAGGAAAAGACTCACACTATCTACAGGGAAGCATTAAAAAAAGACTCACTGATAGCTCTGTGGCCTGCCTGTGCTGGGTTTTGAAGAAAGGACAGGTCTTTCTTGATTCTTAAATGTGGCTAGCCAGATTGATTTTAGTTTACAGCTTTTTAGAGTCTCTCCAGTGACTAGATTATGTAAAAGTCTCACCTAAATCTTGGTCTGAGGCTCAGGACCTGGTCATGTTGGGACGTTGGTTCAGTGGTTCGATGGTGCATCATGGACTGGAGATCAGAGCATCACGGACTGGAGGTCGGTGCATCACGGACTGGAGGTCGGTGCATCACGGACTGGAGGTCGGTGCATCACGGACTGGAGGTTGGTGCATCACGGACTGGAGGTTGGTTCATCACGGACTGGAGGTTGGTCGGTGCATCACGGACTGGAGGTCAGCATGTCCATGCTGATGCAGAAACATATGTCACGTCACAGACTGCTGTTAGGTGCTGTAAAGTGGGCCCTGCCTGACAGTCTTCTGCAGGACAGCAGGAAATGCTGCCCAGGCTTAGGTCATCTTCATCCCTCGAGTGCCTGAATCCAATCTTGAGGCTCTTTTGTCCTTCCGTGTTCCTGAGAATTTCCATCACTGTACCAAACAGGGCATCCTTTCTGCAAGTGGATCACAGGCCTTAAGACTGCTGAGCGACCTGGAAGAGTGGTGAGGAATTACAGGAAATGAGATCCTGTTGATGAGGACGCAACGATGAGGATGAAAATCAGACATCATGTTGGTCACATCCTCCAGCTACTCAGAAGTGGCTTAGATGGTGGTGATGATACCTGCACTCTGAAGCCCTAGTTTACTGCTACTAGTGCCTAACAGACCAGCCAGGAGACTCGTTTTGTGGATGAGATAGTTCTGGAAGTTGCAAGATTCAAAAAGACTGCCCACCTCGCTGAGAGCAATCAGGTGGGAGATTGCGTCAGTGCTGCTAGAGGATCCAATGTTTATTCTGTCCAGTCTTTGCCCTGAGCTTGCTGAGAATGGGCGGTGTGGGTAATGCTCTGGCAGGCTTCGGTCCCTGATAGCAGGCTGTGTTAAATATCTTTGTGCTTGCTTTTACTTGGCACAAGGATCTCTTCTCTGTGTTGTATCTGGAATATTATGGCGAGAAAATAGGTGGCCAAGACGCCAGTGTAGGAAAGAACTGGATTTCGTGGTGTGTTCCCCAACACCCTTTCCAGCTATTAACTGGGAATAATGTCAAACTGAAAATAAAAAGAAATAAATATAAATAAATAATATATAAATAGAAATAAATATTTATAAAAATAAAAATGGCATGAACACCCTTGAAATGCTAACACCTCTCCATTAACATTTTACACTTTTATCATTTGCTTGCTACCATTTGTATACTTATTATCTCTCTCTCTCTCTCTAGCTCATTGGCTTCCCCAGTTGTTTTTCTGAAACATTTGCTAGTTAAGTTACACCCCCAAATGTTTCAGTATTTCTTATTAATAAGAATTGTCTCTTACATAATTAGTCAAGTTAAGCTCAGTAGTTTAACATGCGTATAAAACGTTTATTTAACCCTTTGTATTCCAGTCTTGTCTATTGATGTCCTTCCAGAGCATCCTGTATACTAGAGCCATCCTAGGGTCAAATACTGCATTTACTGAGCATGTATCTTCAGCCTCTGTTAATTTAGAATACTGTGTTCTTTAAGGATGTTGATAATTTAAAGTAACAGTTCTTTTCCAGGGAGCAGGGGTGGACTAGTAGTAAGCAGCTTCATTGTCATCTCAAAGGCACCCCAGTTTGAACCCATCAGCTGCTCTGCAGGACAAAGATAACCCATCTCCTCCCTTGCAGTTCCTGCCTCTGAGAACTGGTGGGTAACCCATGAGTTGGTTCCATACACAACAACAAAAGGGTTTTCCCCCCACATATACAACAATAGTTCTTTAACACACTTTCAAAACTGTCCCTCATTTTGGACTAGCTTGTTGTTGTTGTTGTTGGGAGCTATTGAGTACAACTCATAGTGACCCCATGTACTACGGGTCTGAACCCTGTCCTATCC